TTCGAAAAGAATTTAAATTTGTTTGGGGTGAAGAATAGGAAAAGAGTTTTGAAGAACTGAGAAAGAGATTGATCACAATGCCTGTTCTTGAATTGCCATCTAGATCGGGAGGTTTTCAGGTTTATAGTGATGCTACTAAAAGTGGTCTTGGTTGTGTTCTAATGCAGCACGACAAAGTGATTGCGTATGCCTCTCACCAGCTCAAACCTTATGAAGTAAACTACCCTACTCATGATCTTGAATTGGCAACAGTCATTTTTGCACTCAAAATATGGCGTCACTATTTGTACGGAGAGACTTGTGATATTTTTATCGATCACAAAAGCTTAAAGTACATCTTCACGCAAAAAGAGTTGAATATGCGTCAACGACGATGGCTCGAACTTCTTAAGGACTATGACGTCCGAATTCAATATCATCCAGGCAAGGCCAATGTTGTCGCCGATGCCCTTAGCTGTAAAAGCATTGGTAATGTATCGTCTTTAACCGTTCAGTCCCATATTACTTCAGATATAGAACGCATGGGTATCACTTCGTGTTATCGTGGTGCAAATGAACTTTTGGCTAGTCTCACGGTTGAATTAACTCTTGTATCTCGAATCAAAGAGGCTCAACAAGAGGATGGAGAACTTTGGGCTATCTTACAAAAGGCTAAAGATGATTCATAGTCTAATTTTCGAGTTGATGATAAAGGTATTATCTGGTTCTCTAATCGATTTTGTGTACTTGACAATCCTGAACTCAAAGAAGCAGTTATGAGTGAAGCTCATAATTCGTTGTTCTCAATTCATCCCGGATCCACTAAGATGTACCGAGATCTAAAACAGTACTTTTGGTGGAACGGTATGAAACGAGATATAGCAGAATACGTGGCAAAATGTCTTACTTGCCAGAAAGTGAAGATTGAACATCAACGGGCTAGCGGATTGTTACAACCTATTAGAGATTCCAGTTTGAAAATGGGAACATATATCTATGGATTTTGTGACAGGACTGCCAAAAACTCAGAGACGACATGATGCTATATGGGTAGTAGTTGGCCGTTTGACAAAATCGACTCATTTCCTACCTATACAGGAGACGTACCCTGTTAGTAAAATGTCCGATCTATTTCAGCGGGAAATCGTGAGATTGCATGGCACGCCAGTTTCTATCACATCGGACTGAGGCCCGCGATTCACTTCTTGATTCTGGAAAAGTCTTCATCAGGCTTGAGGTACGTGATTGACTATGAGTTTAGCTTTTCATCTACAAACAGATGGTTAGACTGAACGAACTATTCAAACTCTAGAAAATATGTTGCGAGCTTGTGCTTTTGAGTGGTCTGGTGGTTGGGACGAGTCTCTATATCTTGTGGAGTTTGCGTATAACAATAGTTGGCAAGCTAGTATTGGCATGGCCCCATACGAAGCTTTATATGGTAGAAAATGTAGAACACCGATTTGTTGGAATTAAGTGAGGGAACGAGCTATTGAAGGACCCGAACTTGTCCGGATTAATACTGAACAAGTCGAGATCGCAAAACAAAAAATGAAAGAGGCTCAATCTTGGCAGAAAAGTTATGTTGACAAGCATCGAAAACATTTAGAGTTCCAAACGGGTGATCACGTCTTTCTAAAAGTTTCACCGTTATGAGGTATTCATAGATTTGGAATTAAAGGTAAACTTAGTCCGAGATATATTGGACCTTTTGAAATACTTGAACGGGTTGGAGAGGTGGCGTATCGCCTAGCATTACCTCCTCAACTTTCACATATCCATAACGTTTTCCATATCTCGTCGCTCCGCGGATATCATTATCACCCTCTCCATGTGATTGATTATCCGTTGGACAAAGTTGAAGAAGATCTCTCTTATATTGAAGAACCCGAGTCGATAATTAATCGAGAAGAGAGACAAATGCGACGAAGGACAATACCGTTTGTTAAAGTGTTATGGCAAAATCATTCCGAGCGAGAAGCCACATGGGAAACAGAAGAATTTATGCGAAAGGAGTACCCTTATCTTTTCGAGTCATGTAAATCTTCTAACCCTATCAAAATTTTGAGGATGAAATATTCTTTTTAGAATGGGAGGATTATAATATCCGTGTTTCGTTAACTCGTACAAATTGGGTTAAGTGAATTTTTGGTAGAATTTTTCATAACATATTTGTACCTTATATTTAACCAACTTGTACCTCAGACCAGTTTTATGTCAAAAGTTGAATTTATACCTATATTGGCATAAAATTAAGAATATAAACTTAAAGGGTTAAAACCTTCAAATAATTAAACTATATATATATATATATATATATATATATATATATAATTAAAGAAAAAGAAAAAAAGAAAAAAAAAATATATATATATATATATATATATGTATACATGCATGAAGACGGTTTAAACACCGCCTCAATCTCTCGTCTCATTTTCTTTCTCTAAAAATCTCTCGTCTTCTCTTTAAATTTCACGTCAAGTTATTAAGGAATCGAGGTAACAAATATATATTTGGAATCCACTCTCCAAACCCTTCTTAAAGGTATAAATTTCATTCAATTTTATTAAGGCGTTTATGTTAGGGTTATTAAGACCGGTTTATAAATTGTCTTTATGTCTAAGTTTACGGTTGATGTTGTCAAAATCATGATATATTTGATGCTTAGAATGCTAGAACTGGTTAAATTGATGTATATATTAAAAAGGTATATTATAGTTTTAATATGGTTAGATTGTGGGTATATGTTTAACCGTACACCAATTGTTCGGTTAAATGTCGAAAGAAGTAAAAATGCATGATTAAGCTTAGGTTAGCGACCATTGGACTTGTTTTACTGTTTAGTATGTTTATAGCATGTAAATGTAGCGAATTATGAAAGTTGGATCATAAAAGTTAGTCGGGAATTACGGAATCGAATTTTACCGACAATGCAACTCTTGTATTTTGGCAGTGTATAACTCAAAAACCGTATATCGGAATAAGCTCGTATTTTGCAGTCAGAAAGATCTTACTGCATACTACAACTTTCATGAGGGGTCAAAAATCTAAATAAGACTCTAAGTGGCTCGAAACAGTGTGTTTTCAAGACTGTTTACACTGTATTAAGGATTAATGTACAGTTTTGTAAAATTCATATAAAATAGATGGATGATCCAAATGAGATGATTCCAAAACTAATAGACTCACTTGACACGGAGATAGCCATTTGCATTAAGCTTCCTAATCCGGATAATCTATGATAAATTCCGAATAATTTGTTTTGAATTTTCTTTATGCTTATCAAATGTTATTGAACTTTGGTTCCTTTTGAACTATGACTTGTATTCTTATTCGAAACATGGATCATTTTGATCACTTGACTTGTTTGATTGCTTCATTTGTGGAACATTTTACTTTAGACTCAATAACTGGAGCACCGGTATTGAGATGTTTCCATGGTGACTAAAACGATCATGGCGTCCTCAGTTTTTGTAGTCCTTAAAGGTGGACTTGATTATATACTAGTTGAATAGAGGGCGTATGGATCGATCATAGGAACCGTTATCGGATAATGAATTGTGGCCGTGGTTCAATCCATAGAGAGGATTGCTGTATTGTGCTCTCACCCCTTTTCTCACTTATGCCTGAATGGACTGATCATCTTTTAGGAACAACGCGTTCTTGTGATGCGGTTTGGTCTTCGGACCCTTGACATGCTTTTGGGGCATTTTGACTTTCTTTTGGATTATCACTTGGCTTTATAAATTGCTTTTGAACTTGTTATCTCATATTTATTGTTTAATTATTATTATCCGTTCATTGAGCATTAAGCTCAGTCGAGATTTTCTTATCCTCGGTAGGTACATGACTTAGCAGGGATTTTGGGATGAGAGGTACGGAGATGATAATATTGAAGATAACTATTAAGTCATACTTTTGTTAAGTTTTGATGACTAATGTAGATATACTGGTATTTTGGGACCGTATTTTGAGACACGTTATCTCCGTTTGTGGTTTTGTAATTATCTTTTGGTAAATTTTATTATCTGCTCTGTTTTATATAATATATTGTTTTTTTAAGCCACTTGTGGCATCTCCCGTCTTTGACCACGCAAGACGGGGGTGTTACACTTTTTATCAAATACTTTATAATATAGTATATGTTATAAAAGTGTCATTACTGATATTCTACCTTTTTAAATTTTCTTTTTTAGATATGGGCCTATAATTAATTAATTTTACATGTTTGACTCGCTAACAATAAAATATAATTTAAATAATCTATATTATATCATAAAGCATTTGACAAAAACTTTTAAAAATTATTTTTTATGCATGAAGTATTGTATATTGATGCATATTACTTAAAATTCAAGATTATAAGTAAATTATACATAAGTACCAACACAATGGCTCCATGTTTGAATTCGTATAACTAACTGCGGATAAACATAATCAAATAAAGAATAAACATTCCATTTTAAAATATAAAAAAAATCTAAAATATAATTAGGATAATTATCGAGTTCTAACAAAATAATTAATTATTATMYTTRTAAGAAAATTATATTATTAAACCAAATATAAATTACTTYGTTATTGAACCAAAATTAAATTATAATAAAAAAATTGAATTAAAAAATTACACAAAAAATAAGAATTCTAAATAATTAATTTTATACTAATATCGATATATTTTGTCAAATTTTTATGATATATTTAAATATATTAAAAAATAAAAACATTATCGTTTTCTCAAAATCACATAAGATCATATTATAACATTGACTGAGATAAATAATAAAATAAAATATTAAAATCCAGATGTATCTCACTGTATTGCACGAATACCCTTCTAGTACTTCGGTAAAACAAGAGGAGTTGAATGTCAAAAAATAATACAGAGGCCAAATATGTCATTAAAGGAAGTTGAGGGACTAAACTATTAATTTAGAGAGATTTGTCGCAGGTGTACTTTATTTAGTAGACACGTGTACGATGATTTGGACGGAGTCCAAAATACCTTGTACACTTCGTAAGAGAGTTTCGAGTGGATTGGGGCTCTCGATCAAGAGAAGCTCGATAAATTCGGGCTCTTTTGAATTCTCTTCATCTTTTTTTTCCGATTATTCATTTTCACATATTTTCAAGTTATTATCTAGGGTTTCATCTTGCATAGAGGAATTTAAAGGTAGGAAATTAGGTAGGTTTTATAGAGGTTTGATTCATTGGTTTTTCGGTGCTTCAAACGCTATGAGGAAGAAGCTGGATACGCGTTTCCCAGCGGTGAGTGCTTCTGTTACCTTTTCCCTTGTGTAATTTTGTTTGGTAACTCCGGCTTTCGTGTTTCGAGGTGGAGTTGGCGCAAAATTAGGTCACAATTCAAAAGTTCTCCAATTTGGATTCGTAACCTCCATTTCCATGCCCTCAGATGCTACTTTTGCATTATATTGTGTCTTTGTTTGTGATTTGTGCACGGTTAGGTTCAAGAAGTTATCGGATGATTATCGTGTAATTATGGAGGAAAAATTGAACAATCAATGTCTGTTAACCAATTGATTTTGCCCAGAATTTCTTCTGTTCACGATTTATGTTTGCATCGTTATGGGGTTACGATATTTTTTTGGTTGGAATTTGCACAAAACATAATATGATTGATAAAACATGATGTGATTTGTTCATGTTTTTGTTTATATAATTTAACTATAACAGTATTCGATGAGAATTGTGTTTGTAATGTGGTTTTTGATTATATTGATTGCCATATAGACTTTCGATTTATATTGTATTTTGCACCAAATTATTAACTTAGGATTTTGTTGCACGTCGGAGTTGTATGCTTTATGATGGTTAATTTGCTTGTGCTTTTCAAGATTGTCACCTCTTGCATGCTGGAAGTATGTTCCCCATTAATAAATCAGTTAGGGATATATGAGCAGGATCGTTATGGTATGTAGGTTAGATTTTGGTTGTCTTCTTAGATTGGATGGTAGCTTAATTCAACCAGAATACATTGCTAAATCAGATGTGTGAATCTTCCCCCTTTGATTCTTTCATAGCTAAATACGTGGAATAAATAAAATAAAATCTTAGGAAAAACTGGTGTGTTTTCCTATGGTGGAAAACTTCTGATGATACGTAATTTATAATGAAAAGCATGTCATTGAACAGAAATTATGCTCTTTCAAGGAGCCAGACCCCAATAGAACTCGTTCCTATGGGGGGGGGGGTGTTATTGAACATTTAAGATTACCGACTCACACAAGTGGGTTTGAATTTTATGCATCTTTAAGATTTTTTTTGTATGCTTCAAATGAAATTGAAGCCATGTTAATCAACATTCTAGTTAAATGTGCTTGTACCAATCACCGATGGAAACTGTGGATGGTCAATCTGTCTAATTGACCGAAAGTTTGTTAAGCTTATGAAGTTGAAGAATTGAAAATCAGTCTTTCTTTGCTTTCCCATAATTGAAGATGAAATTCTATTAACCTTTTATTAAGTGTTGAAGACACTTTACTTTTTTGTGTTGCTAATTTGAAATACATTAAAGGCAAAGACCTGTGGTTGTGCCCACAAAGGTTGGGAAAGTCGAGGAAGTAAAATCAAAACCTATTACCCTTGATGACTCATTTATGTTATGACTTATTGTCGTAGTACCAACACAATGGCTAAATTTTTTATGTACACAAGATTTTCCCCAGAAAATTTACGACTACTGAAATTTGGAATGTTTCTAATGCTGAGTATGAATATCTATTGTTTCCCAGAAGATGAGAAATGCTTCCCTTGCAGTAGGTAGATGTTATAGATTGATTTTATAATGTTCCTGCCTTCTTCAGACCAGTTGTTTTTACCTTTGCTTACTGTTTTTGGTTCATTATCTATTTTTTGGTCTTTTCGTCTATGACTATTTTTTACATTGGTTAGATGCCCCAAATATCTTATGTTATTGTTATTTTCTGTATTAAATAGGCTCGAATTAAAAAGATAATGCAAGCTGACGAAGATGTTGGGAAGATTGCTATGGCTGTCCCTCTTCTAGTATGTAAGTTACAGTTTCATGCTGGCTTTCAAGCTACGCAATGCTTCTAGAACGTGTCCATTGTTTGGGATTCATGTGTTCTCAATTCTTCGACTGCTGTTGCATAGTTGACTAGTACTCCCTTGGTCCCCATATCAACTGTCATGTTTTGACTTTTGGAGTGAGACAGACCGTCACAATTTCATAGCTGATATGATTTATTTGCAATCAATACAAAAATTTATAACCACATGACAATGTAAAGAAACATCCCAAATAGAAATAAGTAATTGTTGCAGATGTAAAAGGTTCATTTTTTTGTGATTCGGAACTTTTTAGGTTTGACATTCAAAGTCAAACATGGTCTATTAGACAAAGGAAGTATGTTTATTTCATGGTAATAGCTTTACACTTTTACTTGATCAATGCAGCTAAAGCTTTGGAACTATTTCTACAAGATCTCTGTGACCGGACATATGAAATCACCCTTCAAAGGGGAGCAAAGACTTTAAATTCTATGCACTTGTAAGCACACATCATTGACCCTCATTATTATAATCACATATTGTATATGGTTGATTTTTCCCTCTTTTCTGTTTTGCAGAAAGCAGTGTGTCCAGAGCTTTAATGTGTTTGACTTCCTGAGAGAAATTGTTGGTAAGGTTCCTGACCTAGGTGGTTCTGATGCTGCAGGGGAAGAAAGATCTGCAACTAAAAGAAGGTTTGGATAATATTCATTTCACAATTTCATAGTTTAGAGAACAAAAGTTTCGGTTCAGCATATGGATTGGTGATATGCTTTGGTAAGCAGGAAAGTTGCTGATGATGACCATAATGATGGTGATGAGGACCTGAAGAGGGATAAGCCGGTAAGATGATTTCATTCATATTAGTTTAGCTGGTAAATAGATTCAAGAAATGCATCTCTGTTGTGGGATTGAGGTTGATAGCATAAAAAAAGCTATAAACATATCAAACAAATTATAGTAATTATCGTCACCAATGTAGGGATGCTAGCTTTCTTGCAAGAAACACACTAATACTCTATCACTCTGTAGTCATACTAGCATCTTATAAATTCAACACTGATACAGGCTATGTTTGGACCATTTTTTGTATTCATTAGTGTTTCTAGAAAATTTGAAGAAATCATGAGTTTTGAAATTGAAGGCTAGGCACTATTGGTTTTGGTCATTTTGCATTTTTATTTCGTGGGTCCCGTTTGTTTTGGCATGCGAGCAAGTGGAAATGACCATACCAGCAAATTAGAGAATGGGAAATGGAGGAAAATGGAATAAAGGAATTGAACTTTAGTTGTTTTGACCTCGAAGCTGGTATTTTTTTCTGCCAAATTTTGTTGTTGTATAGAGTGGTATATGTGTATTCAATTTAGCAAGTCATTCTCAAATTGAATGAAAACGACTGTAAATTTCACCATTTTTATTCAATTACATGCTTAAAAGAAAATATTAACAGTCACATACTTATATGTTCGTGTATTGATATTAACTACATCATTTTTGTTTTAATTTTAACCGTTTTCTCTAACCTAAACAGTGGAGATGTTACGTCTTGTGTATCATTTGTTTTTCTCTCACCATCTTTTCCCAAATTCACCATTACACAATTAGATGAAAATGATGTAATTGATATGGTTATGAAAATACAAGTATGTGATTGATAAGTCGTTTTTTTCAGGTACAATTAAAAAACGACGAAAGTGCAATGATGTTTTTGTCTTTATGTCCAATTAATTCTACATTGAATGACTTCTTTAGATCAACCATGTTTGGTTCACCTTTTTGGAAAGCTGTTTTTTTTCCTCACATTTTTTGCAAGGAAACAACCCCTCTACTCTTTTATGGGTAGATGGCGCATCTGCGTGCATCCCCCCCAACCCCACCCCCCCTCCAAAAAAAAAGACCCCAGACGGGCTGTATATTGGTCATACAGCATCTGAAGTTATGAATTTACGTAGTTACCCTCTTTTTGGGGTCCTTTCATCGAGCTTGCTTTATTTTGTGTATTTGCAGCCAGAGACTGTCTATGCAAATGGGAGTGGTCGAGGAAGAGGAAGGGGTAGGGGCAGAGGCCGTGGTAGGATTAGTCGAGCTGAGAAAGAAGCAAATGCAGCAGCAGCATCTAATTACGAGAAACAAGAAGGTGATACTAATAAACAAAAGCCGATCCTTGATTCAGTAGAAGATGCTGACTCGAAAGAGAATCACAACATTTCAGCGACTGGAAAGACCGAAGACCAAGTTAAAATTCGCAGCTTTGACCTTAACTTAGACTTGGATGAGAACGGAGACACTCCAGCCATATCAATGGCACCAGTTACTCCGTCAGGATCATCACTGAAGCCACCGACCATTGAAATGAAGCCTGATGAATTTCCAGGATGGTCGTTGGCAGATGTGGAGAAAATGGCCATTGATCCAGTCCAGCTTGCTAACTTAAATAGCAGAATAGATGAAGATGATGAAGATTACGATGAAGAAGGGTGAACATCAGATCCTCGTACAGGTTGGTTTAAAAGGGTTCCTTGTTTTCTTGTTTAGCGAAAATATCGTAGATGCTAACTTTAGCGTAGTTGGTAGTAGATAGACAAACAAACATACGTGAAAACTAGGAAACGAGGATAACTTGGTAGTGCCAAAATCTTGATGGTAGTTTAGAGAAGATTGAAACAAGTAGGTTTTATTCACTTGTTTTTCGTTTTTTTATGTTTATGGTGTAGGACCTTGCGAATGTAAATGGTAGGTGAAAATTTTCTTTGATAGTTTTCTTGTTCGACATTAAGTAGAAATTTCCAAAATGAGACCATTTCATCAGGTCAAAAGATTGCCCAAGGTTAGGGACTAACATTCTACAAAAGGGTACAATTCCGCCCGTTGCTAGTAAGTCGATTGTTGGGTATCCATAAGTCCGAGAAGCGCCAAGCTTTGGCCTTTGGGTGTGAAAATGGGCCCAATTAGGTTTTCTGGGTCGAGTTTTAATCAAGCCTAGAAAGAGTTGGCTTGATCGGGCTTACTAGGACTTGGCTTTTCGGGCCGGGGCTTTTATGTGTCTTACTAGAGAGTGCCTTACCGTATGAGTGTTATGGGTGTGAATTTAACCATCGGACATTATGATTAATCATTAAACAGAACCCTTCAATCTCAAACATTAAACGAGCTTAGATTGTTACTTGCTCGCATAGTGTCAAACCACGATGGTCGATTCCGTCTTTACTTTCTAAATGACAACCAATCTAATGGCAACATGAAGGTTTCATCCAGGTTGACAAGAAATGAAAACAAAAGGCAATATCATAAAAGGAGTAGCTACATGTGGTGGATCTAGGAAATTTTCTAAACGGGTGAACCTTTAGGTAGCATTTGGTATGCAAATAAGATTGGATTAGACATAACAGGTTGTTTGTTTGGTGTTTGGTACGATTGGAACCGGATAAGAGAGGGCTTGACAAGTTGCTTCTAAAAGTTCTTTGATGATTATATATATATATCATATAATAGTTACAAATGACATATATAAAGTAAATATCGAAAATATTTAATATATAAACATTTTTACATAACTTTTATATACATAAATACATATATAATATCATCAAATTTGAATGAAGAATTTGATATAATTAATAGTAGTTCGAATAAACCTGGTTCATACACATGAAAACCATGCTTTATTTGTTTTAGAAGATCCTTATAAATTGGTAGAGACACGGTGGAGGTGGTTGCAAAAGGCGATAGGAGGTGGTGGTGACTGGTATATTGGTTATCGGTAGCGGTGGAAGTGTAGGTGGAGGCGATGAGTGTGGTGGAGGTGGAAATAGATGCAATAGTGGTTGGTGGACAACGGTGACTGTGGAGGACGTGAAAATGGTGGACCGTGGTGGTGGAGGATGTGGTTCTCGCCGATGTGGTAGAGGTAGAGGTGTTGGTAGGCGATAGCCGACGATGGCTGTGGAAGAGGTTGTCATGGAGGAGGTGGCCAATTGTGGTCGACAATGGCTACCGAAGGCAGCTGGTGGTGGTGGTGAAGGCGGTGGCGGCGGGCGGTTGTTACCATTAATACATATACCATATTGGGGTTATATATCAAATGAGACTATGTTAATAATTTTTGAGGTGATTCTTATCCTTGTGATTTTTGTTTAACCTATTTTGGTGGAACAAAGAGAATGGAACACAGGAACAATGAGTTTTGCCTTATCCCATGTGATATCAAACATGAGACGGTGGCTTTTGTCATGTCATGTACTGTCTTGTCCAGTCTCATGTACCATACGCAACCGTAAGATGGAGAAGGTAAGGAAAGTCACCATTTAACCCCTAAGAAAAGTTGACGCAATTTGACTAGGTGGAATTGTATTGATTTAGCGAATAAAATACAATTTTCAAATAAAATCAACCCTTTGAATATGACACAAGACCGTCTTATGCATGACATGTTTTTAACTGAATTTCACCGTTTCAGAGGAATTTTTGAGTTTTTAGATTGATTTAGTAAATCTTCTGTGATTTAAGATTTGATTCTTATTATTCGTTACTTTTTTGCTCTAGGTTTCAATATGATTTTCAGTTTATAAAATACATTTTTCCTTAACATGGACAAGATTTTTATAAAGAAACAAGACAACTATGATATTAAAATTTAAATTTAAACTTAAAGTTTCTTTTGTGTAATACTTCATTAAACTTAAATTAAACTTTTTTTAATTAAAATATTTAATTTGGTCAATAATAGCCAAAGCACAAGCATTAACAATACCATCATCTAAGAGGCACTTCAGATTTTTGTTATAAAGTTAATTTTAATTTTTTTTAATTAATCTGGATATACAACCCGTTATGCGAGTTGACTAATCTTAGAGTGACCATTTGCTTTCACTGGTAGCCCAGAGTCACTGCATTTGAACCTCCGTGGCCACAAGAGGATTTTTATTTCTCATTGGATTCGAATCTTGGACCTCCAGATACTTTTAATCTTTGGAGGTCAAACTCAAACCAATCGGACACCACCATTGTGGTTAGATTTTAAAATATTTAAGGAGACCTTTCAAAGGACCGGATGATGACACATGGAGATAAGACTCGAAACATGCAAATGATGTCCGTTATTCGTCTTGGGCCTCGGCAACGAGTTAATAACGGCTTACCTGAAAATAATGTCCCAACTCAAGTCGTGAAAGGTTGCTTGTCACATGAGAAAATGTGTGGTTAGACGAGAAGTTGTGTTCTTAAGTCATGAGATCAGTTAATGAAAAGGTCAAACTACATTAGATTAACATCAAAGGCAGACTTATGGTCATTTACAAAATGGTTATTAGGTGTAATTTACATTGCTAGGTTAGGTTAACATGATAAGGATGAACGATCTTTTTCAATAAGATGCACAACAAAGATCGAGAATCTTAGTTGGTAAGTTTGAGTGAGAAGACTTTTACCCGGTTAGCAGTTACCGAGTAAGAGACGCTTACCAACAATTCATTTTGATAGCTGTAACACCTGAATTTTTTTTTCTTCTCTCCTTTCCTTTCTTTACTCCGGTCACGTTGGTATTTCATTTCTCCTCTATATATATATATATTATATTATTATCATTTATTATGTATATTTTTTTTCTTCTCTCCTTTCCTTTCTTTACTCCGGTCACGTTGGTATTTCATTTCTCCTCTATATATATATATAT